ACTTTTGAAGGTAGTTAAAAAAAGTGGTGTCATGGGAAAAAAAACTATCTTTTTGTCACCACGTGTTATTGCGGTCGGGTTTATACACGTTTGCCAATTTTCTTTTTACTCTATGGCATCTCTGAGTTTTACCATTGGGCACTCGATTTTAAAATTATGATAGAATTTCGCTGATTAAATTTCTCTAAGAGATGTTTAAGAGCTCTCAGCTTCCGAGTGTAGATTCCATCAAGTTTAAACTCTAGGGTTTAGTTAATGTCCAAGCAGTGGCGCCATACATTAACACCACCTCTACAGTGGCTCGAAAGAATCCCCACTTAACATTTCTTGAGACAGCATCCAACTGATCACAGCTTTATGGACCCATCCCTGATATTTTTACAATCTTACGCGAACGCAGAATGCGCTTTGCAGGACGCTACTGGCTAGCAAAACAAGAACTCGCGAGTGATCTATTGCTCTGGGCACATAGCCATGGAGCAAGACGGGTTGGTCGCCCAGCAACCACCTACATGTTATGACAGGAAATGTCACCTGAATGACCTTGATGCAGGACCATGATGTTTTGCATGATAGACTTATAAATGTCCGAGCATGCACGACCGAATAAAAAAAATGATATATTGAGTAAGAGAGCCGGTGTTTGTAACTTATTATTACTATTATTATTATTAGTAGTAGTAGTAGTAGTAGTAGTAGTAGTAGTTCGAATCTCTTCATGGTCGATTTGTCAGAGAGGTGACTTCTCGATGTTATTGGTCTGAGAGAAATGATCCTAGCGTGCGGTACCTTTGGAAAACCCCTGAAAAAGCATACCACAGTTTGACCCAAGCTTTGTAAGCGAAACTGGGTCGACGAAACTGTTCGAAAAGCTGTCAAGTGTTGTGCTAGCACGAAATCACAAGTAATTGTGACCGAGGATTTTATCGGGCTAAATGTCCATCAGAGGACGAAACACGTTTGGAAAGAAAAAATTTTCTATTTATCTTTATTCATATTGTCTGGTAATATTCTATTTGCGCATGTCAATTTAACAAACACGTTACTGACTAGTTTTGAAGTAACGTTTCTTTTGAAATAAGCGTTTTTCTTTTCCTGTTAAAAAAAACCAAAAAAAACATTTGTTACATATTTTCCAGTGCTGCTAATATTCGAACCCAGGTGAAAACCAAAGTTAGAATATAGATTTTAAAAATAAGAAAGGCCTTCCTACTTGAAAGAGCGATGCAACACAATATTCGTTTTTCTGCTCTGATAGTCTTTGGTAAAATGTCTACATGGCCTAGGTAATTCAATCAAAATCTCGTTGGCTTTTCCATTCAATGTTCCTACCGGTAGGCCAAATTTACAAGACCACCCACGCATTCGGTATTGAATATAATCAAGGATTGAACGTCACCATTACTTAACCTTCCATTTTTTTCTTTTCAAGCTGAAAACAGTTGAGCTAAAAGCAATGGTCCTTTCGCGGCGTATCAAATCAGCTGTGTCTCTATCGTCATAAACAATACATTAACTAAAGCGCTGGCAATGGCTTCAAAGATTTCCGGCTTTCGAATGACCGGCTCGAATAATCGATATACGGAGCTCTGAGCAGATAGGGCCAACATTGCAACCACTTTCTGGCCATTCGTATCCGGAAACTAATAATTAATTCAAGCTTGGTGATCGTGATTCCGTCCTTCAAAAACACCGTACCTTTGAACTATGTGGAAACTTATATCTACGGAAATTGTTGACCAACCTTAAAATGCGACATTCTGTTGTGCATCGTATCGAGTGGGTAGTCAGATTTTCCTACACTGAATAAAAAAGTAACAATATATATATATATATATATATATATATATATACATATATATATATATATATATATATGCGTGTGTGTATTTGGGTACGGTTCATAACAATGAATTTAATTTATCCGAAAACTAGCTATACCGAAAGCGTTGAATCGAATACTCATCATCAGAGCTGTTTCGACGAGAAGATACACGTGTGATTTATCATCTTCAGTATAGTTATTCGTCCTATTTGAGTTTCAACACCCGCAGGGCCAACCTGTAGTATGTACTAAAATTATACTGGAGCGTCCCTTAGTTATAGTTCAAGTATGTGCCACACTAGGGCTACATACGGTTTTGATTTCAAGGTTGTCATTCGGATTGCCAGACACGCTGAGACAGTCCAGTTTTGACGAAAATAGAAATCTGTTGAGAGACAATCATGTAAATTATAACCAACGTTTCGTGGTGACACTCTTGAAGCCGTGTTTGCCCATATATTTTCTGTGGATGCCGTGTTTATTATTATTATTATTATTATTATTATTATTATTATTATTCGTTGATCTAGCACATGGCCGTCCAGAACCTGGTCTATAGGGTTAGGAATGTTTATTTGACAAGTGTTGCCAACATCGAAGCACCACCAATGTGTCACCTCAACATGCGTATCAATTCTTCCAAATGATTCTCTGGCATTATAAAGGTCAACTATC